GCTTCCGGAGGTGGAGTAGGAGGCGGTGGTGATGGATTCCATGTTACGACATTGGCTTCCGGAGGTGGACTAGCAGGCGGTGGTGATGGATTCCATGTTACGACATTGGCTGCCGGAGGTGGAGTGGCAGGTGGTGGTGGTGATGGATTCCATGTTACGACATTAGCTGCCGGAGGTGGAGTGGCAGGTGGTGGTGGAGAATTCGAAGTTTGAACAACTGGTTGTGGTGTTGGCTGGTAGATTGGAACTGGTGTTGGTTGTGGAGGTGGCGCATTTGGACGAACATTAGGTCGACTGGATTGCGGTGGCTGTGGGCGAACATTAGGTCGACTGGGTGGTGGTGGCTGTGGACGAACAATAGGTCGATTGGGTGGCGGCGGTTGTGTTCGTACAACAGTTACTTGAGTTCTTTGGACAACAACCGGTGTTGGCTTGTTTTCAGGTGGCGGTTGGTTGTACACATTGTTATTATCCACACGAACGACCGTAGAAGGCTGTTGATTAACTGGTGCTGGACGAATCATTACAGGTCTATCATTATTCCCACAGTTTTCTGCACATCCTTCTTCACACCAACATGCTTCGATGCATCCACATGTTTTTAGGCATCTACATCTTTCTTCGCATCTACAGCATTTACAGCAACAACAACAACAGCAGCAACATTCACACATCTACAAGGTAAGTTTCAGTTTAGATCTGAAGAAATGTTGGAAATAATATCTGTTCAAAACGAATCGACCAATCGCAGAAACCTATCATCTCTAAAAAGCGTTCTACATAAACATAGTAGTGTTACATATAAATCTTGAAAGGTATTCGATGGAGGAGTAGGAGTGTCAAGAAAGGAAAGTTAGAAATACTATTCTGTAACATTATGTATTAAAAAGTAACTAGTAACGCAAATTCTGTAACTCTATAAAAATAAAAGAATTCATTGATGTCAACACTATTTTGTTAAGATCAATCAGAAATTCTCAGGTTAAGAATTTTATTGGTCAGTCAGTATCAGATTTTTATTATTCTAAAGATAAAACATGCCATGATCAAACTGTATGAAAGGGAATCCCACAAATTCTATTATTTTTGTTTTGTACAACACAAGTATCGAAGAAGAAGCTTCACAAATATATTCTATGGCCCTGTAAATTCCCGAGTTTTACTAACGAGTAGAACTATTTGTAAGAAAAATCTTAAACTAACATATCGTTATTCATAACTCAGGCTGGCAGGATTTTTTTTATACATTACTAATGTCTAATTTATGTGAAAAAAATTGAGCCTAAAAGCGATAATACAGTTGAAAATGAACTCCTATGAGTCGGAAGTAACACACTGATGAATCATTACTGAGTGATGGGAAGAGATCGTTATCGATTATCAAATAATATAGCTGGTTATTAAATATGATTGTTCTCGCTCAAATCTGTTCAATCAGATCAATTCTTCGACTTATATAATAGGAGTTCGAAAATTCTAACTAATGAACGCACATTAATAACTATTAATAATAATAATAATGATCAGAACTAAAAGAATAAAATTAATAAATCAATAAATATAATGGTATTTATTGTTTAACCTGTAGTCTAATTGAGATTTATTGAATTTGTTGGAATAAATTTTCAGTTTAGTAATACGTTACTATTTCATTAAACAAAATCTATGTGAAGAAATAACATGATTAAATAAAATGAATTTTTTACTAATGCTTTAGTCTTTTATAGTTGTTCTCGTTCTGCTTACATTGTATTAAAGAAAAAAGCAAACAGTCGTTGCCAAAACAGAAATGAATGTAGGTGAGGTCGATGAGATGTAGAAAAAGAAAGTTTTCACGGCACCTTATAATAATTGAAGAAAAAAAAATCACAAGTTTTGATGGTGATTTGACGTCGTATGTAACGATGAATTCTCTCTCCAAAAAATAGAGTGACGTATATAGTAAATTATTATTGCAAGACACGATTCTTGTTGACAAATACTAATTTGAATTTTTTTATCAGAGGAATATTATATTGAAAATACTCAATTAATAAATCAAAAAAAACATTTTATTAAAAAAAAGTATACATTTTATTTCAAATATTAGTTCAGAGCTGTTTTTAGAGATGTTTTTGTTGACACTCTAAGAGCACATTCTTTATCACTATTTTCTTCTTTTTTTTTACTATAAACCTACATCAAAATCAGCAAATATCAGTTGTTTTTATCACTATAAGAGAAAAAAAATTAAATTAATTCTTTATAAAGGTGCGGATACGATAGTAAATGTTATCCAACAGTCATTAGATTAAAAGTGTTTTTTAATAATTAATTTTCTTGATCAATGAGGTTTATTAATGAATAAATTTCATATAGTAGAAAAATCTTTTTATTATGGTTTATCACATCTCCTACAACATGTTAATTTTGATAAGAAACAAACAGTATTGATAGAAAATATTTTTTTAACATATTATTATTGGAATAAATTTATCGTTAAGAATGGAAAAAATATCAAAAGCTATCAGTATATATTTCAGTTTAATGAACAAAAAAAAGAATACTGATGTATGTATAGAATGAATTTGGTCCGATGAATATTTATCACATATATTGAACAATAGTTGTTCGATTTCTGTTCTAATATGATTATCTTTCTTAATTAATTTCTTCGTTTTATTGAGTCATGTTACTGAGATGACATCGATTTAATAAACATGTATTTTTGTCAATAAATAAAGCAATTTCTGATTCTCAAGTTCTTGTAAATTTATTTCTTACACACCTACATACAACAAGATTCTATGGAATTCAGTGTCAGATGGAGGATGTGAGTATGCTCAAATGACTATTATATTTCACTCTCATCGATAACCACATCTTAACTGTTCGATATTTTTCTTTCAAAAACGCTGGTCTTTTCATGATACTATCACTACCATTAGATTACATAGTGACATCTGTCTCGTTGTTCTTTTTTCTTTCCTTTACGTCTCTGACAACACCTACAGATTTACGTCATTTTATTTTATTTCATAATGTAAACTATCGCTTTTTTCCCATGTAACTCAATGTCTTACTCTGCCATGTCGCTTATTATCGACTGGTTATATTCTCTTGTTGTTAGTTACTCCATTTTTTCTTTCTGTTTATAAATGCGTCATCACTCTCCCTCTCTTGCTTTTTCTTTTCTTTCTGGTTTTGAGTATGTGCTATTGCTCGTACAGAGCAATTATTTTCTTTTGAAATGTGCATACATACTTCAGTGCCAATGAGGCTTGAGGGGTGGGAGCATTAGAAAGATAATTCAGAATAATTGGCTTGCTCCTGGTAAATTCTTCTCTAAGTTGTTCCTTATTAGCTTCCGAACTAAACATAAATTGTTTACGGATTTTATCTGTTTATTTTGCTATTTTCTATTCACTGAGATAATTAGCAAGTCATCACGATGCCATGTTCTTTTGATGCCATCAATAGTCATATATTTTATCAGACTCGATATCGATTGTCGTTGAAATCCTATGCAGCTATTGGCAGTTCTCTATTCAATAAAAGACTCGGGTACTATCTATCTATCTACGTCAAAATAATAGAGGCCGCTCTCTCTTACTCTTCCAAAAGGTATATATTTTTATTTTCGATCATTTCATTTCTTTCGTTCTTGTAATCAGCTATCTACAACTTGACACTTTTTTCTTTAGTTTTCTTCTTGCGTTAAGAGTATAGTATGTTTTGTTATTAGATAATCACTAATGCAGCCTATTGTTAATCATTTAGCGTTATAATATTATATAAACAAATACGTAGTTTTTGTTTCAAAAAACTTTTTATTGATACAGGTTGCTTCTTTACATATTAAAAACAAGAATAAGCGTTTTCAACTAGATTTTTTCGGTACTTTGCTTAGCTTTCTTCCTGTAAATTAAGTCGAATAATCATCTGCATTATCTAAAGTTGTTGAATCCTGAAGTGTTGCAAGCTTATCGAACTATATAGCGTTTATCAACAGTTCATTACTGCTATATTGAAGAGTTTTTTTCATATTAGTTCGTTGTTTGCAAAAGAACTCGATAAATGATAAACAGTTTGTATTTGAATATTTCAGATTGATTACCATGAACAGACCTGACACATGGGATTCTTGTGCATTGGAATATGAAACCACTGCTGAAAAAGTAACGGATCCGTGTATTATCAAATTATTAGAACAAGTTGCTATTCTCCCGGTGACTTCCTCTGCTCGAACGATCAAAGTAATCGATATAGCTGCTGGCCCAGGAATCTTAGGCAATTTACTTGGTGAAGCATACTCTCAAGGTGGATATTTAGATAGAGTGAACATTCTCTCAACAGACTTTTCACCGAACATGGTAGAAACGGCTGAACGTCGCTTCACTTCGCAAAACTGGCCGTCATCACAATTTTCTGCTCGTACTCTAAATGCTATGGATCTTGTTGGTGTGCCATCGGATCACTATACGCACGCGTTCTGTACTTTTGGCATTATGATGGTACCCGACGCTCCGAAGGCTCTTAGCGAGATGTTTCGTGTTCTTGAACCATCCGGAATGATTGGTATAACAACATGGTTTAAGGTTGGCTGGATGCCTATCGTTACAGAATCTCTCGCACGAGCAAAAAAGTCATCCGATAAAGAAGAGAATACGACTATATCTGTACCTATTTCGCGTGATTGGTTCGAAACATCTTACGTTCAACAAGTACTCGAAAATGCTCGCTTTGAAAATGTACAGGTAAGTATCTTCGAATCTCGTTGGTCATTTATCAACCATGATGAATGCGTGAAACAACTCACGCAAAGTATGTGGCTACAACCAATACTCAAGGCTGCCAATTTGACAGATGAACAGCGAGACAAATACAATACAATAGTACCTCAAGTGTTACTAGACATGATAGGAAAAGAGCAAGATCAACCCTTCAATTTACCTATGATTGCTATCATCGCTCATGGACAAAAACCAGCCAAGTAATATCTTCACATGATTCGTCATCAGAAACAATTAAACTGATGATATTCGTTTAAATAATTACATATATTAATCCAACTTCAGTCGTAATAAATTGCTTGACCCTTTGGGGACGAGATTTTTTTTCTGTATATTTCAGCATAAATCAATCAACGTTTCTATTTTCTAAAAGAACTTTATAAAAACATGTGTTCAGTAGTTTTTCAAAGTGTGATATAGCTCAAAACAAGGTCAAACACATAAACCAGCATTGCATTCGACATACCCTCAAGTCTTTTATCGATGTTAGTTAATAATCTAAATCATTTTAACATTGATCAACGTTGTATCTTGATTGACTTTAATTACATATGAAAAAATGCCTCTCTTAGATTATGTTGTCTACAAATGAATACATAGAAGGCAATGGAATTAGTAGGTCTCACAAAGTTGAAAAATTTTTGAATATTGCTTAGAAAAATTAAATACATTCGTCACACTTGATACTTTGATAGTATCGAGGATTAATCATTGCAATTATATACTTATTTCAATGAAATTAATAATTAAATAATGAAGTATGTTAATTGAAGACTAGCATTTTCGATTACCGGAGACAATATAAAATGATTGTCTCCCGGTCTCTGAAAGAACTTCGAGATTATTATGTGTTAAAATTTCTTATAAAAAACTGGCTAAATTTTTAGTGTTCTCCTTCATTCCGAGGAAGACAGATCTGTTCATTTTCTGCTAAAATAGCTCACTGGTAAGAGATAGAGTTGATACAATTTTAATATTAAATTCGTTTATTCAAGTTGCTATAATGGTAATTGTGAGGACAAAATAGAATAGATGAAAGAGCTTGTAATGAAATAAGATCTCTCATCGTTTCATTCTGCGAATATACCCAAGCAAAGAAGTATCAAATATGATGCTAATCTATTTATGAGATCATGAGCAGAAAAAAAATACTTTATTCTTATAAATCTTTGTGTGTTTTATAATAGAAAAGAAAACAGTATATGTAAAAAGTATCATTTGACTTCTATCATTACACTTAAACAAAGACAATATGATATTTAGCTCAAGCTCACCAATATTTTTTTCTCTTTTTTAGATGACATAGACGAAAAAAAAATAATTGAATACCTTATTCTATTATATATGATGAGTCACAGAATATAATCATTCTCTCGTTTGTATTAGTGAAATTGTTCAAAGTAATAAGATCAACGAATATTTCAATTCTTAACTAAAGAAATGTCTACTTCCATTCTTGTCACTATTCAACAAGGAATAACGCCATATGTTATGCCAATAATCGTTACAATAGCTAATTTAAGCAATATTTTTTCAATTCTTAGCTTCTTACAAAAACATCAACGATCAAGTTCATGTTCTATTTATCTTGTTTTCGCAGCAATATTTTCAATCGTTTCAATCAGTTGAGCTCTAATACCAACCATATATGCACTGAATAATCCTCCTGATCCATTTAGTCAATCACTTATTCTTTGCCGTCTTCGAGGTTATATTCTTCAAATAGCCAATAATCTCTATCGAACATATCTCATATTGGCATGTATGGATCGATATGCAACATCGAGTCCTTCTGCTCGAATTCGTAGATGGGCAACGAAGAAAATTGCTTGGAGAGCAACTGTTATTACTATAATTGCGTGGATACTAATTCCTACTCATCTTCTGATCTGGAAAACAATCGAAAACTCAAAATGTTCTGCATTCGGAACTTATGCTACAGTGTATACGATCTACTTACTTATCGTCATTTTTGCACCTCTTTTTCTTATCAGTTTGTTCGGTTTTTTAACATTACATAATTTGAAAAGATTGCACAGTCATATTACTCATTCCAGTGCGAATACTACTATAACTATATCAGAAGAAAGAAGAAAACGTGATATCGATTTACAAAGGATGGTTTTGATGGAAGTATTTGTCTATCTTATACTTACATCGGGTTATCCAATAGTCTTTCTTTATACAACATTGACTGCAAATGTCACAAATAAAAGTATCATACGTCTCCAAATTGAATCATTTGTTTCATTTATTACAAATTCTTTTCTTTAATATCT